TTTTCCCTCACCTTTTTATTTACACTCTCATGTTCTAAGGGCTTATTGAGTTGCAGGATCTCCTCACGCTGTTCCCTGACACCATCCAAGCTGGTTGACCCCGCCAAGGAAAGGAATCTTGACTGGAGGGGTCTGTGTCAGGAGTCACAACCACTGTGAGGCCTTTTCCCCTTCCTGGCTGGTGTCAAATCCCAGGACAGACAACTTGGGAAATCTCAGAACATGGGAACTTCTATAAATTTGATTATGTAACATATATAGTGTTTCTTCTTTTCTACTATTTTTTCTCATAGTCTCCTTGTTTTATCTTTTTTCCTTTATACCCTTTCCTCCTTGGGGAGACCTCATGTTTTGTTAAAAACTAGTTCTGAACATAACATTGGGAGCCACCCTGGTTCATCAGAGCTCTGGCACAAAAAAAGCATATCTGAGCCTTATTTACCCATGGCTACCCCCATCAAGACAACATTCAATTAGTTTCCCAAAGCCCCACTTAGTTACACATTTTTGAGATTCATTTAATACTGAACAGGCATAGACTCTGTAAATCTTAGTCATGCAAAAAGTCTGAATGATCACAAGTAAAAATATGCAGATGAGTAAGGTTTGCAGCATCAGACCACTAATTAATAAATGTCAGCAAAGTACTTACGATGAAAGATGTTATGGGAGTACAGCGGATTCTAATTAAAACGTCAGATTTATTTCCACAAGTTAGTCATGGACTTTGCAAAAGATCAGTGTCTCCAGAACTTTAGAAACTTGAGAAAAATTTCTTTTCACATGAACTGTGTTTATACTGAAAATTTGTATTCTGCATATTAAACAAAAATAAATCAGAGTATTGAAAAATTTTAAGTGATGGCTTAAGGCTGCCTGAAGGAGACCTTGCAATCTATTCTTTTATATTGCAATCTACTGTGCACTGTGTCAAAAGGCATTTATTTTTGATTCACAGAAGATTTCAAATAGTGAGCAGTGCTATAAAAGTTCTCAAAAAATTATTTTAAATCCTTCCATCTAATGGACTATTTGGTGAAGTCAGATTTTTTAAAGACGAATTAATCACATCTGATTCCACTTAGCTATATAAACACAAGGAAGGAAAAAGAAACATCAGGGACTACTGTTTTTCTTTTGGTTCTCAATACCAGTTATAGAAATGCGATATATGTGTATGCTGGTATAAAAACAGAAAGTAAAAGGACCGTAGTTTAAGCATTTCCCCTGGATAAAAATTAAAATGTGTTATTTTGCCACAAAATTACAACATTTGCAAAATATTAGGCTTGGTGAAATATTCAGGTTCCCAAAACAGTATTTCAAGCGCTTTTGCAGCAAATGTTTTTATCTTCTCTTCCAGCTTTAGAAAGAAAGATTGTAAGATTAATAGACTAAAGGGAGGAGGGGTATTGGATACACTTTTCTGATGTTAATATCAAAATTTTATTTTCATTAGAAAAGCAGTGTATTTAAACTCTAATATTTTAGAAAATTCTTTTGTCTCTAAACCAACCCATTAGAATATCCATTTTTCTAAAGTAGTTCTCCAGTTTCCGCTTTTACCTTACCATTTTCCCTTTTATTTCTGTTTTAAAAAAATGATCATGTATCTGGAGCTCACACTAGGTAACACCTACTCCAGAAACAGTGACACCACTATCAGCAGGTCTATTTTAAGAATTATGTGTTAGTTAAGGATGCAAGTGGAAGTGCATTACTTTTTTTTACTATTTATTTATACTTTTTTTTAAAAAAGGAGAAAAATAATATGTGCACACCAGGTGGGGTTTAGAAGCTCTCAGAGTTTTATTCTAAATTTCTTATTATCCAAGGATAGTTCCCATGGTAACAATTACATCATTTGGCACACATGTTACTGGAGGGAAATAGAACAATTTAATAAAGAAACACACATTCACCATTGTACCATGTGAATTGATTTACTTATTGCCTAATTTTGTTTCTTAAAAACGGGAGACTGCAACAGTTTTCAATGTCAGTATGACCACTTGCTTGTCAAAATTATCATTTCTGCTCCCAGTTCTTTGCAACTCCAAACCACTCTCTGCCATTCATTTCTTAGAAATCCTGACACTGCTCAACTATTCTTGAAAAAGAACCTATTCTACCTCTGTCATTTCTTTCTGTAAGCTCATGCTCTTTCTTATTCAGATGCTGAATGGTATTGGCGATTTTCTTTAAAAATTTAAAATAAAATAATATAAAATAAATGCATTTTGACTGCTAGAGATGAATGGTTTTGCTATGGGTATTTGCTTAAAAATGGTTTTCACAAATTTAACCAGCTGTTTGCAAGACAATTTAGATTATCCATGACCCTTGTAGAAGTATGCAAAGGGCAATAACTTTTTGTGCTCATGTCCTCTATATATGACCCACTTACAAATACTGCATATGTAGTCCAATGAGTAACACAATTAAGATCTGCAAGCAAGAGTTGATGTTATCCGAACTTTTCCTATTGGTCAATGTTCATTTCTCCTTCCATTTTTTTCCCCACTCTGTGTATTTTCATTTAATTTCTGCCTCTCAGACTGTAATCTCTCTTGAGTACCTGACTCAGTTCTTTGGAATTTTAAAAACCTAATTCTGCCTTCCGTTCCTAACAATTAATTATTATCACCTGTTATCTATGCCTTTGCTTGAAGTAATTCTCTTGACTCCTTCTTCTTAATTTTTTTGGTTGCTGCATGAGACTCTGCTTCTTGATAAAACAAGAAAATCCTTCTGTCCTTCTGATTTGTAATTTCTCCAGTGGTTATTTGAATTCTTGCTTTCTTTTACTAAATAAAATTGGGAGTATACTAGGACATGTCTGTGTGTGTCAATCTAGAACAAAAGTAGGATGGATATTTAACTGCATTAACCTTCACAAGTCAGGCAAAAGAAAAAAAATTTTTTTCTTTTTTCAATCTTATGAGGGCACACATTTTCTACAGGTTTAAACCTCGTGTTCAAACACTAAAACAGACACGGAACCTGCTCGGAAACAATGTAACCCTAAAAAACATTGCAACAATTACTGTCTCCTTAGGATAAGTGCTATTTAAATTCATTCATTTCTTGGGAAACGATTTTCTGATCTATCAAGGCAAATAGGTACTGTGGGATGCAAAATTAATCAAGGAAAAGGAAATGAGATCTTTTTTATGTTGCTTTCTATCAAAGAAACCTCTCATTATTGCAGTGGACTAAAATGAAGTCAAGTGGCCGAAGATAAGTGGAGGAACGGAACTTAAAAGCAGTGAGAAAAGGGTTGGGCTGGATAGGTCTTCTCTGAGAGACAGAAGAGAATCTTTGTAGGTGACTGAATTTCACTAACATAAATTCTAAGGCCTTCTACAGAAAGTTCCTTTCTCTTTGTCCTATATATGGGAATTGCAAAAGAAACGGTCAAAAAATGTCTTCAAATGAAGTTTGCAAGTCCATAGTTTTTCAGAGGGGATTGTGCACCTGAGATCTTCAGGGGCATTGAAATTATTCTTTCACAGTCCTAGTTACATAGAGAGTTAAGGTAGCTCAGTTTTGCAAAATTGACCTTTTGTTCAAACTGTATATGACTATGTACTTATATGATCAGATTCTGCTTCCTGATTTGTCCAACTCCTTTACAGCCCCCTTCAGTGTTACACAAGGTAATGACTTACTTTCCAGGGCTTTTGTTTTCCTTTACATTTTTGCATAGTTAAAAACATTGAATATCTTTTTCAATTTCATAAAGAAGTTTATAGGAAACAATTTCCTCATAACACTGCTCGTTTTGCTGTGTTGTGCTTTGTATTCCCAAGTTCTCACTTACGACCTTTCATGCTGGAGACAGATTACACCTAAACAGACAACACCTAAGTCTTCAGAGAAGACTTGCACATCAGAAAAGAGATGAAATGAAAGTGGAGGTAACTTAGCACTTTCATTACTTTCAAAGGTCTTCAAGTCTCTAGTGTTTTCTTAACAAAAAAAAGCATCTGCTGAAAATCCTGGCCCATGAAGTTATGTGACCTTGGTGGTGCTCCTTCTTTTCAAATAATTCAAGATTCATTTGTTATTTAGGTATGTTATTTAACATTATTATATAGACAACAGGTTAGTAAAGGCATATAGTGCTTTTGGAAAACTCCATAGAAGAGTATGGCGTAATAAACACTTGAAGAAGAGTACCAAGATCAGTGTTTACAAAGCCATTGTGTTGTCTACTCTTTTATATGGTTCCAAATCATGGGTCATCTACCGCCACCACCTGCGTCTCCTAGAACGCTTCCATCGACGCTGTCTCCGTACAATCCTAAACATCCACTGGTCAGATTATGTGACCAATACATCTGTTCTAGAACCAGCAGCAGTCACAAGTATTGAGACCATGTTACTGAGAACACAGCTGCGTTGGGCAGGACATGTCTCAAGGATGAAAGATCACCACCTCCACAAGATCTTGCTTTATGGTGAACTTGCCACTGACTGCTGCAAGAGAGGAGCCATGAAGAAAAGATACAAGGACTCCCTGAAACATCTCAACCTTGGCCATATTGATCACCATAACTGGTCTACTCTGGCCTCAAATTGGGAGGCCTGGAGACACACCATCTATAACACTGCTGCTTCCTTTGAGAACACACGCAGGATCACTCTCAAGGAGAAAAGACAACGCAGAAAGAACCGTGTCTTGCAGAATATACCACTTAACGAGTCTTTCTGCTGTGCCTTTTGCAATTGGACATGTCCATCTCGTATTGGCCTCATAAGCCACCGGCGTGCTTGTAACAAACGTGGATAGAACCTTCTTAAATCTTTGTTCGCAAAGCCTAGCCATGATATTCATCTCAATACATATGCTGACACTTGAAATCTTGACTTTGTTGCATATTTTGATGTTTGATTTTTCCTCAGGCTCTAACCCCAGGAGCATGACAACTCTTGTATCTTCTTTGAGAAATTAAAGAGAGAATTTGTGTCTGGGAGGTCCTCTGAGTCTGGCTAACATGAGACTCATAAAAGTGGATCTCTACAACCTCCGAGTGACTGACGAGGTAAAAGAATGCTGACTCCATGACTACTCTATCGCTCTAACTCACTATAAATCTGCCCTGCAGCTGAAAGAAGCCATCTGATTCCCATATCTGCACAGAGTAAGCACATTTTTCCAAACAGATGGCCAAAGAAACAGATTATGTCACTAATCTGGTGCAAAACTGCTTGTTTGTTTCTTTGTTTTCTTGATTTATGTGTCATAGAGATCAATTTGCATAGCTGCATGAATACTTGTGCTGATAAATAGAAATGTATAGCTAGGGAGAAGAAGAAAAGTATGGCCATCCTTTTGGACAGTAAAAGTGAATTTATTCTATTTAAAAATGTACATATAGCTGTGAACTGACTCAGACAACTAGATGATAACAACTTCTATATAGCCCTCCTCAAGTTTTCACCTGTTCTTTTTCTCCTGACATGGACTGCTGAGAGGGAACATCTCTCCAGCAGTAGAACTCCCTATGACTTTGGATGGCAGGAATTTCAATTACCATCCCATAGGCTGACTAGCTCCCTTTTACAGAACCATTGTTTTTCTTCATCCAAACATAAGTAAGGCTAACTAAGAGAGTTGTCAGTAGCTCTATCCTTCTCAAGCTTCTGTCACCCAAGATGCTGCTCTGCATACTATGTTATTCGAAGAGTTAGTAAACTGAACTCATACTTCTATTTGAAAAAACTAGAGAAAATCTAAAGTGAAATTCAATGTGCAAAACATTCAATCAAAAACCAAATTGCAATCTCAATTGTGGAGTAATGTCAAGAAAAGGCAAGTCAGTCTGATAACAACAATGCAGAGTAATGCAGGCTCAACAATTTACTTTTGTTCTTAATGAAAAAATGAAATTCTCAGTGCCAGGCATGCTCTACTACAAGCATAATTAAGACACTGATGCTGATCTAAATTGGAAACACAAGCAAAACAGAAGAATAAGAGATTTTTCTTTGACTTCAATGTAGTAGTAATTGACCCTTATATTTTATTGTTGTTTTCGTTTATTATTATTATTATCATCATCACCATTATTATCATGATAATTATTATTATTATTTAGGTACAGGACCCATTCTTCCACAGTTTTACAACACAAGAAACACAACCTGAACATTTTGAGCTGTATTTTTACAGTGAAGTACTGAAGAAGTGTGTGATCCTCCATCGCTACTTTATTGTTGTGGGACTTGAGCATTTTCCATATCTCTGGTCGGAACACACTCTAGCTTCATTTTGCCAGCATGATGAAATTAGATGTACAACAGGCATTCAGTACACACTAAAAAAAATCTGTGTGCAGAGGCAGAGGTGGAGTTGGAGTGTGCTCCATCAGACCTACGTGGAGCAAGCTCCTGTGAGAGCCAAACCCTGGACATATGTGAAGAGCTGCAAAATCCCAGTCTGTGCATGATTAACTACCTCCACTGAAAAGCTTTTAAGGTTGCATCTTAATCCCTGTTCCTGAAACATGACTTACTGGTATAGAATCAGAGCTCTGAAGAGAATCCCATTCTATAGGTTTTCAGATTAGCACAGAGATCATGGTGGATACTTGGTGGATACCAGTGTAGCAGATTCATTCACCTCCAATTATACCTTTTTATTTCAAATTCCCTTTTGTTATCACAAGCATAATCATATTTATCTGGTTTTTGAAGATTTTTTCAGTCTGAAGAGACTGATTCCCTATTTTTTTTCCTCTGATATCACTTCTCAGACAGGTAAATTCAATTGAACAGCTATTAATGTCTCTATGAAAGCAAGATGAAGTTTTCACATAATGTAGTATTGACACTAAAGCACAGAGAATAAAACAAAAAATAGACAAATATTTATTTGCATTATTTAATGGACTTGTTTTGGCCAAGATGTCTGTTCTTTGTTATTTGCTTTCCATATTCATTTGAACGATGAGATTTTATTGGAACCAACGCTCATAGAAAATGAAGTTAAAAGTCATGAGTGTTTGCAGAGACCAAACATTTAATTCAGACAAAAATAATCAGAATGGAAATGCTTTCTCACTCTGTGCAAGATCACAGTAAATCATACAGAAGAACCCTACAAAACAAGGCAATATATGACTGATTTTAAATCACAAGTTTGAAAGAGAAAATATATTTAAAAGAATGCACATTCAAAGATGTTGTCTGATAGAATGCATTAAAAAACCGAGTTAACATTCAGTGTTACATGGAATTTATAAAAGACAACTAGGATTAGTTAAAAAATTTTGTTTAAACTAACTTTAAAAGGAAAACTGTGTTTTCTACTGTTTTTTTGTGTACACTTTAAAATGTTTATTTCCACTAATTTCACCACAAGATCCGAAAGATCTAAACTGAGTTTTCAGCTCCAAGCTTTCAGTTGTTAGCTGATATATTTCTCACAAGGACAGTATATTTTAATTTTGGAATTAAAAATTAGTACTCAATATTGCTCAGTAAGTTTGTGTGCTGGTTTAAAAGTTAACCAGCAGGGGGAATGAACCCAACTCAAAGGAGAGATTATAAGTCAGAATAACAATTTATTAAAATAATACAGTAAGTACAATAATACAAACAAACAATTGGTCTCAACCCACAAAAACCCAAATGTGTAACCCAGTACCCTGGGGCCTGAACAAAGTGGTGTTCCTTGGGCCCTGTTTGAGTCCAAAGTAAAGGGAGAGGGGAAGAACCTGCTGGTGGGAGAGCTGCTGCAGTCTGGCCAGAACTGGTGATCGCAGTCCAGTGGTGGTCTAAGTCTGGTTGAGAGCGATGAGATGCAGCCTTCCTCTGGATCCCACGAGTGGGTTGAAAAATGTTCCAAAACTCCAAGATTATATATCCTCCAGTTCAGGCAGGAATGCTTGGTACTCCCCTCAGGGCGGGGAGTTCACAAAGGGTGTGAGGACAGAAACATCCTTCTATCTCACAGGCCTCTTAACACCTAGTTTATAGCCTGAGGAGTCAGGCTCTATGGGTAGAAGGTGCGAATAGTCTATTGACAACAATAGTCTAGTTTCTGGGAAATGACATGGAAGGCTATAGAATACAGTTTTGGGTTACACCCACCATGATGAACTGATCTCAGCTGTCCTAACTAGGACAACAAGACAACAAAATGGTTGTTTTAAAGGGTTAACAACCTGCCAGAACATCCAGAAGTTGAGGTACTGGAATACTGGAGATGAGACACTGGAAAAATTGCAGGCGTTTTTTCCATTTCCATAGCACCCTTTAATTACAGAGGCCTGTGTTTTACCACATCCTATTTCTTCTGCAGTGCTGCTTGAAGAGGATGCATATTTGAGAGAGTGATCCAGTTTTTTCTTGCTGTGTGGTGGTTTGTGTCTGCGTGACCCCATGTTCCCACCTCACTGTGCTCCATTCACACCTCACATTTAACATTAGAGTCTGGGATTCTTGTCACAGCAGAGCTGCAGAGAGGGGAGGAAAGAATCCTGGTTTCTCTTTGTGCATTGGTGGTAGGATGGTGGGGAAAGCAGTTTTGTTGGCTGACAGATGGGAAATCAGCCCAGAAAAAACACAAGTATCCATTAGGAGACAAATGCAGAGCTCTCCAGGAGGAATGATGCTATCTTAATTTAATGAGAATTCAGGAGATGCTGTACACTCCTGTGGCAGTATCTCATCATTCTGTTTTTGGATTTCTTCCCAGTACATTGACTCTGCTGACCTGGAGCCCGACACGCTGCAGGAGGAGCCCGTGCGGTACCACGAGGCCTGGCAGAAGCTGTGTGGGGCTGAGTAAGGCTCTCCTTCCCTGGCCATTTCCTGGGAGCATGGCTGAGAAACCTGCTGTTGTTGACAGCTTTGGGATCAAGGGCCTCCCTGGAGACTCTTTCCTTAGGCACTGCACCAGCACTGACGTGGCCCCACACACCTCTCCGGGACACTGAGGATAAGATGTTAAATGGAGAATTGTTAAATAAGTGAGGGAGGTGGTGAAAGGCAGCAGGGGGGATGTGCCCAGACTCACTTGCATGATCAGGGGGAAAGAGGGTGAGAGGAAATAAGGAGAAAGGAAAGGTCCTGATAAAGGCTGTAAAAGCCAAAGTGGGAATGGAAGGTGTAAATGAGGTATAAACTACTTTAAAGTGTGAGAAGGTAGGATGCAGAGGAGTGCCAAGAATTAGCACAAGGGGGGCCTGTTGCCCCTCAGGGTTTGAGTGGGATCAGGAGAACAAAGAACCTCCTGCAGAGTTTGGTGTTAGGACAGCCTGACACTCACTGCAGCCAGTGACTTCCTCAGCACAGGCCTGGCTGGGTGGTGTGTCTGCAAACACGTTTGGTGCAGAGCATGAGTCCCACAACATGAACCATTCCAATATGGTAACCTGTGTTGTATTTGGGATCTCTCTTGGGAGGGTAAAATTGGCATTTATAAAATATTTTGCTGACAGTTCAGTGACATTTTATGTGACTGTTCATGTGGAGCCATATGGAAATGGTGCTGCAGCCAGGCCCTGCCATGAAGGCTACTTCAGAGCCCTTTTCAGGAGGGAGGTCTTGCAAGTCCAAGGTTTTATGGGAGGGAAGTGGTACATGGGTTTGGGGGAAGCACACTGGTGAGCCCATGTGATTGGACTCTCTTCATCCTCATGCAGTGGAGTTCTGGTTCCTGGTGGATTTGGTGTTCGAGGAACAGAAGGCAAAATTCAAGCTATTTCCTGGGCAAGAAAACAGAAAAAACCCTTCTTAGGTGAGAAACATGCTTCATCCTCAAGAAGAAATAAAGCAAGGAAGGAGGTTGAATAACAGCAAGAGCTCCCCTGGTTTTCATTGGTGTGCAGTTGTGAGGGGCTGAGTAGGACAGGAATCTGTGCTCAGCTGAACTGGGAATGCAGCCTCATCCCCAGTGAGCTCTGAAGTGGTTGGAGTTGGCTGGGATGGGATGACAAGGAATCTCTGTAATGAGGGGGTGGGAGTCTTGGAGGAAGTTTCAGAGGAGACTGTAGGGATCTTGGCACCAAGAAACTCGTGACTGCATTTCAGTGAAATGGCTGTGGTGAGAGACTGGAACTGAGGTGTGAGTAGGGCGTGGGGAAAGGGAGGGCAGGGGAGCTGGTCAGGGCACAGACCCCAAAATCCCAGTCAAGGTCTGCCTCCTCCAGGTGTTCCTCTGGCTCGGGATGCTCTGTGAAGGTGTGTGTGCTTTGCACTATGGGCTCAGAGGTGCTTGTCCTGATGATCCATGTGCTGCCCTTCCCTCTGCAGGAGTCTGCTTGGGAATGCAGTTGGCCGTGGTGGAGTTTGCTCGCAGTGTTCTTGGCTGGCAAGGTAATGGCACAAAACCCTTCCTGCCTTCTGCTCATTTCTTGGATTGCTTGAGTAATACCTGTGATTGTTTTTTATTTTAAATACCTGTAACTTTTAATGTTTCCCATCTCCTTTGCTAATTCAAAGGAGAAAGAACAATTGCTTTCTGGGCTCCACTGCTTGGACTGGGTGGGTCCCTGTTAACAAAATTCTGTTCACAGAGTGCTAAATTGAGTTCTCAGCCTGACTCTGAGTCTCACCAGGAGTGAGGGTGGGGAAGAGGTGTTTCTTGGAGCATTCTGCTCCCTCCTTCCCTGCCTTTATTTCTGTATTTGAAGCTGTTGAATGTGTGTTTTTCCTGAATGACCCTTATTGTTCATCAGTGACTGCATGAGGTGGGTTGCCCCAAGATTGCAGCCTCTGAAATGGATACCAGGCAGTGCTGACAGTCCCATTCCTGCTGCCTGGGATGAGCTCTGTGCCTGTGAGGGGCTCAGCACGGTTGGGGATGGGAAGCAGCCGAACCTGGGGCAGGTCTCTAAGTGCCTGTTGTGGTGTGAGGGAATTTGTAATTGCTGAATGTTATGTTGCAGATGCGAACTCGACAGAATTTGACCCCAAAACTGCTCATCCAGTGGTGAGTTTATGGTGATTTGCTTGTAATATCCTTATATACTGTGTCAGACTGCTCTGCACATCCCTGGGCACGTTTGTTCAGAGCAGCTGTGGCTGCCCCATCCC